AGGAGCTGTGAGGGCCACTGAAAGACCTTGTGTGGAGATTGATGTGATCTAACTGGCCTCCTAGCCTAGCCCTAGCTAGCAGGGGTGGAGTGGATGGATGGGAGACAGAGTAGTTGGGAAGTCCATCAGACCAATCCAGGCAGGAGAGAGCAGGGCCCTGCTGAGGCTTCAGAGTGAGAATGGAGAGAGAGGCAGATTGGGATGCTGCTTAGAGGGTGAACCGCTGTGAGTAGAGATGCAGGCATGCGCAGTGGAGTCTTTCACCAAGGTGGGAACAGGTGGATCAGGTGAGACTCATGTGAAGGAACTCACAGGACTTGTGTCTTCTATGTGTGTAGAGTGAGGGAGAGACCTTGGGGATGAGTCCTGGGCTTCTAACAGGGAGAGCAGCTGACTGGTGCCTTTGGATGAGACACAGGAACTTCTAGAGTAGCAGAGTGTGGGGAAGAAGATGCAGGGTGGGCCTGGATTTCCACCCAGTAAGTGAGGTACCTGTGGGTTGTCCAGGGAGGGCAGCTGGGAGGTGGTTTGTGTGTGGGTCTGAAGCTGCATCTAAGTCGCAGTATCCTAGGGGGAGCTGATGTGACAGGCCCAGATGCGACTGCCCATGGAGGGCACACACTGATGAGAGTGGAGGGCAGGGAGGCTCCTACCCCTGAGCTTTCCGAAGGTCTGAGAGAAGATGAGAAGCCTCAGTAGAAACCTTTAGCTCATTAGAAAGAAACCAGAATACCAAGAAAACCACAATTTAACAATTCTCCAAAATGTAATTATATTTCAAAAGCAAAATTAGAAAAAGACATTCAGCTTCTAATTTGTACAATGTTTCATGGGATGTGGCTGCATTTTAGCATATTTAATACATCTGACGTGATGTGGGCGAGGCCCCTCCAAAGGCATCGCTCCTTAAGTCTAAGAAAGGAGGTAGGGTGTGAGAAGTCATCTTCTCCTTCACGGGGACCCACACCCCTCATTCCACAGCCCCCAGGACTCTCCTCCTTCCCAGGGGTGAACTCTCCTCTCTGGCTTTTCCTCCATCCTGCCAGGTCCCTCACCCTTGCAGAGGGGTGATGTCCTGATGAACATCATCTGGGGTCGCATTGTCCCTCAGGTGTCCCACCGTGGCCTCCACGCTGCTTGATCTGGTCAGGCAGTCCCCACAAGACTGGTCCTGATTAACCTCATCTGAGGTCACCCTCTCCCACAGGTGTCCCATCATGGCCTCCATGCTGCTTGGTCTGGTCCGGATGAACATCACCTGGGGTCTCGTTCTCCCTCTGGTGTCCCACCATGGCCTCCACGCTGCTTGGTCTGGTCAGGATGATTCTGAGCGCCCCCTTGCTGTCCGCCTGCTCCGCACCTTCTGCCAACTCCAGGCAATAGCATCCTATGCTTTCTCCAGGCAAGTGTCCCTGTGGTACCACCCTGCTGGAGTAGATCTTGTTCTTATTGTCCATCCGCCCCTCCCCACTCCCACTTCTCAGGACCTTATTTCACACCCCACCCCCTCCCAGTGCTCCACTGACCTGCCTGGGCTCCTCAGCACCTGCGTGGTCACTGCCCCTGCACAGGGCCTGGAAAGGACTCACCACCAAGTAGCCGACCCAGGAGGCAATGGACATATGGCTGGATCTCATCTTGGCCAGTCATTCCCTAAAAGAAAGTTTGTAAGGAGTCAGAAACCTCTCCCACTTAAAAGCAGATGTCCAGAATTTAAACTCTGCTTCTATCTCAGAAAACTGGAGGTTTTCCATGTGAGAGAATATTCTGGTCAATGTCGCCAATATCACCAATATATAATATAGACAGAATAGCTCTTTCCCATCCTCAGTAACATGGGGACTTCAGAGTTTTTTAAAATATTGAATTGTTGCAAAATACACATTAAATGTTAAAAACAACAACACTAAACATCTTAGGCTTTTTTTTTTCTTTTTTTTTTTTTTGAGACACAATCTCAATCTGTCACCCAGGCTGGAGTGCAGTGGCAGGATCTCAGCTCACTGCAACCTCCGCCTTCCGGGTTCAAGCAATTCTCCTGCCTCAGCCTCCTGAGTAGCTGAGATTACAGGTGTGCACCACCACGCCCAGCTAATTTTTTTGTATTTTTAGAAGAGACGGGTTTTACCATATTTGCCAGCATGGTCTCCAACTCCTGACCTTCTGATCTCCCCACCATGGCCTCCCCATCTTAGGCATTTTTAAGAACACAATATAGTCATACTAAGGATATTCATTTGCATGAAACCTGTCCTCAGAACGTCTTCACGCACATGAAACAACTCTGCATCTCCCTGTCCCTCCCGCCCCTGGCAGCCCACATCTTACCTTTTTATTTTCTGCGAATGACTCTAGATACTTTATACAATATCGTTTACTTTAAAAGTTCCAAAAGTATGCTCAGGAATTAGCCACCCCAAGTTTAGTGAACACCTAAACACCAACTTTAAAGCCTGCGCTCTTCTCCACCATATGTTCATTCATTCATTCTGGACACCATGTGCCGCGGGGTGCGTTTGAGTGTCTGGGAGACAGTGTTGAACTTCTTTATAGAGAATCGTCTGTGCTGCAAATATATTTTCTGCGTGGCTTGCCATTTTAGTCTCTTAATGCTGTCTTTTTGACACCGAAACCTTAAATGTGGTCAGATACATTAATCTTTCCGTTTATGGTTATTGCTTCCTCAACTGCCACTTATGGCATCTTTTCCTAATTTGAGGTCCTGAAGATATTTTTCTGTTATCTTATAGATCAGTGCCATCCAATAAAAATATGAAGTGAGACACGTATTGTCTATCTACACTAAATACTGTCTATCTAGACTCAATATCATCTAGTATCCACATTGAAAGAGAAAAAGGAACCTGATAAAATAATTTCAAAGTTTCAATGTAAAAATTGAGACATGGCCAGCCATGGTGGCTCATGCCTGTAATCCCAGCACTTTGGGAGGCCGAGGCAGGCAGATCGCCTGAGGTCAGGATTTCAGCAACACGGTGAAACCCCGTCTCTACTAAACACAAAAAATTAGCTGGGTGTGATGAAGGAAAGTTATAGTGAAAATTTGACATGATCGGCATAATTTCTTACGTGAAAGCTGCCTCCATTATATAGGTTCTTCCAGGAACTCAAACACTGTTAAGTGAAACATGGGAGTATAGTTTTTATTATTTCTTCTTTTCTTTTTGTTTTCATAATAAAAGGCACTTTGTTCAGGAAATCAGCACAAATCGGCATTCTTTGGATTTCCTCATTCTGTGGTTCAAGATTCATTTTTGTTGAGTCCTTCTGAGAAGAAACAATATGAATCTTAACAGTTTCTGTCCATCCTAATGGCAGAGCTCTCTGACTTGGGCACATGCTGCCAGGCTGGGTAGTTTTATACTTTGTTTTCTTGTTTTGCTTTAAACCTATGACTCAGCATACATTTTGCCCCATGCATTTTACCACTGAGCCTTAGGACTGAATCACCTCCACTTAAATTGATGACACAAGTAGCTAATAACCATTTTCGGGTTTCTACCTAACCTTCTAATTGTCTGTTAAAGCCAATTTTCTGCGTGTCCTAGTGAATGGTGGCTCTTTTTCTTTCCACACTGGCACATATGCGTTTACGTAATTGGAAACGTCTGTATTTCTGATGCCAAAGGGTTAAAGCCTCTTAGATTTAATTGCAGTGATATGCAGCCACTATTTTATTTTTGATCAGTGACCTTTGGGCCACTGTGTAACTGGGGCACTGGACGTCAGTGTCAGCACCAGGGTTTTTGTTTTGTTTCTCTTGGGCCTTTCTTTCTTGGCACATGTGAATTTTGTTCTGTGTAAAATGAAATGACTTTCTCTTGTTCTCTGATGATGGGTTTAAAATTAAAAGAGCATCTGGTTTTGGTATGGGAATGATCCAGGATTGTGTTAATCATATATATTAGTTACTTGTACATTTATTTGGATCTTTGCTAGGGGAAAACTAAAAGTGACAAGTTTTACATAATTAATTAAATTTGTTACCCTTTTTCATGTTCAGGATAAATAATTTTTCAACGTTGCGTGAGAACACTGGCAGCAGTTGATGATAAGGTGACTTTCACCGTAGGACAAGCGTTGCCTGCCAATTTGTATGTGTGTGAAACACTTCAAAGCTGATTTAAAGGATATTAAGTTAAAATTGGTTGTATCTAATACGCCCCAGGTTTGGTAAATAATTCTTTTTAAAAATTCCAGTGCAAGTTCTACACTTAATAACACATCTCAAGCGCTCAGTAGTCACGCATGGGCAGACCAATGTGGGGTCTCTTTCTGCTCTCATCCTGCGCCACTTGTCTATGCTTTCCCCACTCCTACACCATCTTAATTTCCATAATTTTCATGATGAGTTCTGATATCTGGTAGGCAAAAATGTCTTCTCGGGAGGGTGTTGGTTAGCCTTGGCTCTTGCATTTCCATATACATTTTAGTTGTCAAGTTCTCAAAAATATAGTGGGATTTTGATTGAGATTCTGTTGAATCTAGATATCTAAAGTCCCTGCCATGGTTCTGGAATCCTAGGGTGAATACAAATAAATTCTGGAATAAACAAGACCCGAAAAACACGAACAAAAGCAGAACTGAGTCTCCATCTATCTATAGCAGGGCCTTGTGCCCTGTGAGCTGTCAGGGGTCATGGTTCTTGCACTCACCTTAACCCAGGGCAGGACTTACCTTTGTAGAGAACAGATGGGGTGCTTCCCACTCCTCACTTCCCTCTACCTTCTCTGTCACCGGCCCTGCGGCTTGCTCTGTGGCTACAGACCGACTTCCATGGAGAAGCCCAGGACACATGTAGAAGCTCAGGCAGGCTGGCTGATCAGGCAGGGAAGGAAAGGAGCAGAATGTTTAGAGAAGGGAAATCAAAGAGGATTAACGATGGCAATGAAGGCAAAATACGGATGGCAATAGGTGACCAGGACCTGGCCCCGGAAAGGGCTCCTGTGACTTACTGAGGCAGAATGCTGGTTTGCCGTTGTCTTGCTTTTGTTTGTCCAGCAGTTCAGGCTGCTGAAGCCATGGTCCTGGCCATCCTGAACGGCAGGAGCACTGCTCCAGGAGCAGGAAAACCACCCCCAAGATGAGATGTGTGAAGTGCCAGGTCTGGTTGGGGGTGGTGGGGCTGGAGGCTCGGGACTAAAAAAGGGGAGGGCTGGGAGGAGGGGTATAGGGATGGCTAGGGGAGTCACGGGAAGGAATTCTGATACCACGGCGTTGGAAAACAAGGCAAGAAGGAGGAGGAGTAGAGGAAGAGCTAGAGGAGTGACGGGAAGGAGTTCTGGGGCCTCGGCTTTGGGAAGCAGGGCGAGGAGGAGGAGTATGGGAAGAGTTAGAGGAGTCAAGGGAAGGGGTTCCGGGACCACGGCATTGGGAAACAGGGCTAGGAGGAGGAGTAGGAGGACAGATAAAGGAGTCATAGGAACGAATTTTGAGACCACTGTGTTGGCCCGCAGGGTCAGGAGGAGTAGGGGAAGAGGTAGAGAAGTCACAGAAAAGAGTGCTGGAACCAGGTTTAGGAGGGCTAAAGGCATAGGTGGGGAAGTCACCAGAGAGAGCTCTGAAACCACAGCATTTGCAAATAATTGGTACATTACGAGCAGCAGAAGAGCAGGGCAGGAGGAGTTTTAGGGCAGTACAGTGGGGAAGGCGGGCACGAGCCGCAATGGGATAACAGTTAGGGCAAAAAACTGAAAAATCGACATACTTATGGGGTGGGGAAAGAGGCCTGTGAGCCTGAGGAGAAATAGCGGGCAAGTGGGTTGGCTGAGGAGGGCGTGTTGGATTAGAACGGTGGGGGGGATGAGGAAGGCGTGGTATCAGGTGGGATGGAGGTTGAGAAATCGGAGGGAGCTTTCTTGTCATTTCTTCAGTCAGGATTCTAGTTAGTCACTTGTCCCAATGAGTCCAAATGAGTAACTGGGGTGTGCCCAGAGCCGCTCCAGCATTTATCTCACGCCCACCGCTCGCATCACACTGTGTCAGAATGCCCATTATGATTCCTATGTGCCCCGCCCTTTTGGTCTAGGGAGAGCGCCCCACCAGCCAGGGAAAGGGGGCCCAGTCTCTAGGTTTAAGAGTGATCATGGCAAATAGCAAAGAGAAGAAATGGGGGCTGTAATATCCATCCCCGTTCTGGGGGTACCATGTAGTTATGCCCTTCAGTAGGCAAAGTTTGGTCAAAGGGCCAAGACGGAGTTAGGGGAGAGTGGTTCTGAAGCAGGACTCGGGAAAATGGGAAGTCAGTGCCCCAGTCTTTCCCTCACTACATTTTTCAAAGCACTTCCACATCATTTATATCGCTGCATGAATACCTGTGATTAGAGGAGAGATGCTGTATTCACTGGATAAATGAGAACACTGAAGGCCAGAGAGGAAGCTGCCAGAGGCAGTGGGTGACAAAGCAAGTGGGACTAGAGCTTGGGCCAATGGAGGGGCAGGTGGGAGGGAGCACAGAATAGCCCAGAGTGCTGACCAGCGGCCTCACCTCCTACTGACTCTCTGGACAGGGTCCTGCAGGGGGCGCTTCAGAGCACAGCTTTACTTTCTGTAGTAACCTCTTGGTCCCTGTGCCCCGTGGTTATGCCTTACTCTTAATAGGGCCAGTGCTGGCAGGAGGACTCCACACTCCTGGACACCTAATGACTAGGTTTGGACTTGCTCACTAGCTGAGATGTCTGACTCCATGTGGGATGGCTAAGGAGGCCCCTCCTGCACCCTTCTCCATTCTTTGGTCTGTTGGAGCAGCCCTCTCTGCTCAACATTCCTTGTTTCTGTGCACCACTCCACTCCAGCCTGGCAACAGAGTGAGACTCCCTCTCAAAAGCAAACAAACAAAAAAGATGGGTTTTATTTAACCATATATATCATGACATACTTTCCAACGTGACTCTGGCATAACATGAGACAAAGAAGAAAATAAAAATATTTCACCCCAAAACATGTTTCTTTGCCATATTTTGAAATGGCCCTGCAAAGCTGTTTTTTGTGGGGGAAAATTTGTACTATAAAGAATCTCTATTAACATAGCTAGATCTTTTTCTTCTAGAC